TCTAATTTAATCTGTTACAAATATTGTTAATAGCTTGGCAGTTAGGAATTAAGCTTGTTTCATATTTGTGTTTTAAGCAATTGTTGGAATACTGTTTGTATTTATATTAGGTTTATATTAAGTTGGACAGCTTTAAGAAGGTAATAATTAACAACACTTTCTTAGGCAATTAATTAATTGATTAGTGTATAAATGACATTCCTGTCGCTGTAATGTGTATGACAGAAATATGAAAACTTAATCTAAAACTTAGTCATGAAACTAAGAGTATTTTGATTATAAATATTCTGGTTATTTATTTGAAAGCATAATTCAAGCTTTATTCAGCTGTCAGTTGTCAGCGCACTCTTTGATTTTTGATTCCTTGCAGAAAACCTTATTGAAATTATTGCTCAAGTCTGAAAAGGCATCTTTCGACATTTCTTGGCTTGAGTTGACACAAGCAGCCTTGGTTGCTGCTTGGTTTTATAGTCAAGAAACTTGAGATGCCTTGAAAATTTTATGTATGTCAAATTGAAGGCTTCACTTCAGTCCGGTATACAAGTTGGCTAACGTTTAGCATAGCTTTTTCAAATTCTTGTGGCATGTCTACGCCATCAGAACTGCCAAACTTGTGAATAATTAAACAGCTTTTAAAGAACTCTCAGAACTTAGCTTGCAGACCTAATGTTAAAGCTGAACAGCACCTGTAATAACAGCTAATTGCATGCAAATGAGCACACACCTACAGGCTTTAGGCATAATATATTAGACTTAAATGTGACACGTCCCTGGGTAATAATATATATTATAATATATATATATATAGCTCATCGCAATTGGTATTTGGACTATTTCCATGCTATTTGTATGCACCCTTAATACAAGCGAAAGCCAATCTATTTTGGTGGCTTTTGGAATTTCGACCCGAAAAATACTCGATGTGACAGTGAGCAATGAAATGCACTTGAGCTCATCTGTGAATGCTGCGGGCAACTAATCACAGAAGCCAACCTTAACTCCAACCTTAAACCCGAACGCTGAATGCTGCTAAAGCAATTCGAGCATGTCACTCAGTCAGCAAATAGCAAGGGGGTTGGGAAAGCAAGTGATTCGAATTCGCATATCCTTTTGCTTTAGTGTGGGTGGCTGTTTCGGTGGGTCATATGGCTGCTTGAATGTCTTGTGGTGCGCATTGTTGCGCTTTCAATTGCACTTTTTCGCTGCGCCAACGAAAGGCATCAGCTGGAAGTCCCCAAGCGGCGCCAGGACAATTGCCAGCCCGGCCAAAGAATCCTGGCAAGCTCATTTTCACGGCAATTGCAGCTGCTGCTGTTGCTGCTATAAACTATATATATACATGTGTGTGGGTGTGTGTGTGCTTTACGGCTTTTAATTAATTGAATTTTGTACTATATTTCTAGCTTGGATTTCGTTTCCCTTTTCCTTTTTAGTTCTTGGCATTTTGTACCATTTTTTTTTGCAGCTCCTTTTGCCTGCCAGTTTCTATTGAATCGGCAGATCTAGGCTGCAGTTCTTCCAGCATTTTCATTGAAATGCATGTGGAAGATTTTCTATCGACTGCCTGCAACGTTGCGTAAAATTAGAAAGTATTGTGTTGAACTTCAATGGCTAAATTTATAAGTGAGAAAATTGCATTTCAGCTGCCACAGCAGCTCATCGAATCAGCTCTCTCTCTCCCTCCCTCTCCAACCTGCTACACTCTCTGCCTGTCTCTCACTTTTCTATGAGCAGCTTTCTCGAGTGGATTGTGTGGCTAGATTTATCCAATGTGTGGTAATTAATTAAATGGCTTTTGCCAACGCTGCGAGCAGCTCTCGGCATTGTGTTGATGCAGTCATATTTGTTTTTCTTTTATTTAACTAACTATTTGTTATGTTTTTTAGTGAACTAGTTAGCTAATATTTAACAGCATTAACGGGATAGTAATGTAGAAATAGAATTAGAAATTTACGCATTTTGGAGTGCTCTAGTTGAAAGTGCACGACTAGGAGACACCCCGAAACCTGTGCAGAGCTGTTATTTCAATCATTCAAAGTTATTTTTTATACATAAATGACAAATAATACATGCTCATGGCGGTACTTTTGGGAAATTAACTAAAATAATAACTTTTTTAATGAAATTAAGAGCTTATTATTGCTAAAGCACAAGTATATACAGTTAAATTTTGTGGGGTCTCCCTTTGGCTCTTACAAATAGCCTAAATTGCCATTTTAAGCAGCATATTTTACGATTTATTCCAGATAGAAGAGATTATTTTAAAACGTATTTAGGTATAAAATAAAATAAAATAAAATATTTACAGGCTTAACACTTTGGTCCTATAAAAAACATATTAGAGTACGTTTTCATGCACGGCAATTAGCATATTCTGATTTTGTTTATATATAACAATTAACCTAATTTTAGTTCACAAAGACAGTTTGTTTTCATTGCTGTATAATACAATATATGATTAGGTTTATTTGGCTAATCCCAAAACCAATATGAAGCGTGTCAAAAGCTGCTGCATAAAAGTTCAATAAACTCGAAAGTTTCCATTATAAAATCAATATGCAATATTATGAATATTTTATTTCATGTCACACACACACACACGCACAACAGCATCAGCAAAACAAAATCCCCAAAAGGCAATTGATTAGCTTCAAAATGAGGACAATTGGATAGCCGCAAATGTATTTTAATATTGGGTACCATATTACAGAAATGTTTGCTCTCTCTCCCACTCTCTCGCTCTATCTAACGCCCATTGAGCAAATTAAATAAAAAATTTATGTAAATCGTCGAGCCACGTGAAATTCAATGAATTTCGATTTGTTTCCATTTTTATACTTTGCTCCTTTTTTTGGTCCCTCGATAAATCACCCACTGCCAAAATTTTAAAGTTGCATTGGAAACGATGCGACTTAAATGTCCCAAATAGTATTTCCTTCACAGTTATGAATAAGCGGGCGCTGGTGGGGCCAGCTGGCAGCAGCATAGCGAAAATGGAGCAATCGCTTGAAGCTGTCGCCTGTAAGGCAAAAATTGCACAAAGGCAATGCCGATTGGCGCAAAAACAAGAAAGTAAGATAAGGAAAAAACTATTGGAATGGCTGACATTGGCATATGAAAGTTTGAATACGCTTTATGAGAGATTAAGTATTCAAGGACGATTTATAAGATTTTTCCAATGCCAGTTATATAGTATGCTTGTATACTATTTGGCTAGCAGTTGTTAGCTGTCAGTCTAAGCCAAGTTCACACACAAAATTATGAATTACAGATAAGCTTTAATTAGAAAAATGTAGCCTTGGAAAATTCGAACCATAGTCACATAGATGAAAATGAATTTTATAATTTTAATATTTTAGAGTAAAGTAAAATTTATTTAATAATAAGACGATAATGAATAGAAGCATAAAGAGGAGATTTTATATATCTTTGGTTGCAATCTGTAGCACAAAACTAAAATACCCATAACGTAAGTGCACTAAAAAGGCGCCAGAAAGACAAAAAATCTGTCGGTACGCGAAATGAAGGTATGAATGAATGAGCAGCTGAGCCAAATGCATGTTTGATTGAATGAATGTGCATTGAATACGTGAAAATGCATAAGAGACACACAGATGCAGCTGGCTAGAGAGAGGGAGAGAAAAAAGGCAGGGAATGCATGCATTCCCCATTTCCAATCACATATTCACATATTCATATTCAGCTGCTGATAGAGGTGCCAAACTTAAGAGGTGGCAGGTAAAATTTACATTAAAAACATGCAAATAAAATAAAGTCGGGCTAAAGTTGAAGCAGAATCAGCAAAATGCTGATATATAAATGTATAAATATATATAGATTTATATATAGGTGTGTATATACTATAAATCTGCATTGCTGCAATTTGAATGCATTTTATTCCCTAGATGACAGTGCCTTGAATGGGTATATGGACTATAAGACAGAACACATAACAGAGATATGAGTTTTGTTGAGCTGCGTGAAAGCTTAATTACGGCTTTAAATCAGCTCATGGCTTAAACATATTTATTTTAGACTATTATCAAGCAATGATGTTTCATGTGAAGAATTTCAATTTGTGTTTTTTCAGAGAATGCTCATTAAAGTTTTTTCTGATTTAATATTCATGCTTAAAAAGTTTTTTTTTTATCAAATTAATAAATAAATATGGTAAGTCTTTGCTTGTTTCAGGTACTTCAATAGATAATTAAAGTTAAGCGAGTATCTGGCAGTTGAGTTGTTTTTCTTTTTTTTCTGAATCCTTTGCTTATTGTTTGTTGCCTTGCAGTCGTACTTTTTGTTGTTTGCTTGAATATGAAATGCGAATTTCAATGTGAATAGGCCTGGCAATGGCTCCCAACTGCAATTTGCATTGTTTTCGCGTTGAATGCCCCTAAGTTCTTTTGGTCTATGCCCTCAAATGTTGGCTCGACTGCAATGATTGCATAAAGGGAGCCAAGAAGATGCCTTTTGCTCAACATAAAAACCATTGTGTGTGATTGCGAGCGTGTGTGTTTGTGTGCGTGTGCCAAGGGGAGCAAGGTTATTCTGCTGAGCATTGCAGCATTGTTAAATTCTTTGCCATTAGAGTTGTGCAATGAGCTATAGATTTTGCTGGGCATATCTTGACTAACAAGATCTGGAAAATATTTTATATTTAGAGAAATTATGCTGGTAGAAGAGCATTTTAGCTTTTGTTAAGCAAATAATTAATCTACAAATTGTTTATTGAAATTGAGCTTGATTCTCCCTGTAATAAACCATATTTTCATTTGCTGTTTAGCTGAAACTTTGGCTTATATCTGTAGCTTATATTCATAGGCTTCATTTTCATTTTACCTTATATAACGTTGATATCACTTTCAGTTAGTTCTTTAAACAAACCACAGCCTTGGCTTGCCTTGCCGTGGTTTTCGACCATTACTCTCATTATTCTTGCGTACTTATTTGCCTTACCCTTGTCTTTTACATTGATATTCTTTACATTTATTATATTTCAGTTATTCGGCAGCAAAAACCAACCAAGGCACAGCGATAATTAAGCAGAGTAACCCTCCTAAACAAAATAACAAGAACAGCTAAAGAAACCATAACGAGCAGACAAACCTGGAACGAAAACCATATCAAAGCAAAGTAAAACTAACAATTAACTTGGCTAAGCTTGCTCTACCTACCATTTGTTCGTTGTGATAGAAACCAGAAAACTCGGTAAGTGGGACACAAACAGAAAACCAACAAAAAGTAAACATAGCCGACTTTTGGGCGAGAGAATGGCTGTTGAGTTTCCTATATCTGGCAAAGCAATGATCGACTCAAAGGGGCGCGAAATGTTCAAAATGTAAAAGCAAATGCACATCAAAAGGTAAAAGCCAACAAACACGAAGCGCTCATAATATTAATTAGAACGTTGGCTCAGCTTGCGATTTTAATGTAAATATCCTACAAATTATGAGGGCTATGTAGGGCCATGTGTCTGGAATTTCTTTATGGCCTATAAATAAATTTACATATCAATAAATTTATTTATTTATTTAATAAATATTACTTCATTAAATTTTATTAATTAATTGTATTTATTATATTATAAAATTCGATTCTATTTTATTTATATAATTTCTATATAGTTTTTATATATATTTATATATATTTATTATTTTTTTATTTATTATTATCTATATATTTATTTATATGAAATTAAGGAATTCCATAATTTTCTTTGATTTCTTTTTCAAATATTTTAATTATTATTTTTGCTCATTTACATTTATTTCTCTTTTAAATTTTAATACGAAGTGCAGGTATTTTTAGTCAATTAGTTTTTTGTTTGCTGTTTCGAATTTTTTAATAGCAGTAAAAAATTTGCGTAAATTTTTGGCAGAGAAAATCCAATTAGAATATCCTGTACATCATAAGGGCTATGTCTGGAATTTCTTTATAATATATATATAAAAAAGTTATCTGAAATGAATCTTCATGAAATATTTAAAAATATTTTTACTTTATTGAAATACAAAGTATTTTTAGTCCATCAGTTTTTTTTTGCTTTGAATTTTGCAAATTTTTTAAAAGCAGCAAAAATTTTGTATACTTTTTGGGGCGAATTTTGTTTATTTTTTTGGCGCTTCTGAATTCGGCGAACGGTTAAAAAGGCAGCCACAGGCTCTGAGATTACTCTCACTTCCTCTCCCACACCCTCCCTTATTTTTGCTCCCTTCATCTATACACATTTCGCGCTCTCTTTGTGTTGACTATTTTCACTTATATTCTTTTTAGTTTTCCCTTTTTTGAGCTCTATTCATTCAAAGCATTTGATATCATAATACGTATATATATATGCAATTTTGTGTGTGTGATTTTTTGGCGCTATTTTCCATAGTTTTTAGCTTCATTTCCTGTTTTTTTCGCGCTTTTAACCATCTGCTTATTATACTATATGTCTGCATTTATATACAGTTATTTTGCGTGTGCGCTGCTCTACAAAGCATATTTCTATTCATATATATTTTATTTCACAGAATTTATTTACCATACGATTTTTTCATAAAAAAAAAAACACATTTTTTTTGTCTATGTATCTCAGTTTATACCAAAAGCTGTTGCTTAGTTTTGACTTTATTGTGTTTATTTCCGCTTGATCCACTTAAAATCGTTGGCGAACCCAACGCCGTGCATAATTTGATATATTTTGTATGCCCTAAGCTGAAGAGTATCACGAATTTGTCATGACATTTGTTTCGACTATAAATTTATTTTCATTTTATTTGCTGAATTTATTTATATTTATATATATTTATTTATATATATATATTTATATATATATATATATATATATATATATATATATATATATATATATATATATATATATATATATATATCATATTTCTATACATTTATTTATCGATTTCATATAAAGTATCGATCGATAGGTAAATTTATTTTTTAAACAACATTTTAACCATTTTTTTTCAAGCTGTTGGCCAATTTGGGGTATTTATTCAGTCTGAAAAACTCCGTAGTGTATTCAATTGTCTGCTAATCGCATGCATTTTTTATATCATTCTTAATTTTTTTTTTGCTATTTTGCGCTAATTTCATTTATAGTGCTTAAAGCTTTCGTGTTTGTTACCACTGCTTTATTTATGCTAATTTAATGCAATTGTTGTGTTAGGGGAATATGAAAAAAGTGAAAAACTCCACACAAGTGGCGTCAAACGGTTCGTATGAGTAATGCGAAGAAACAAATAGATGACCATAGGGTACATAACATTAAAGATAATCACTGTATAACGAAGATAGAATGGTAGACCGAACATTAAATACACTTTTAAAACACTTAATTTTGTTTTTTGTGAATTTGTGCGGGGACTGCTTAAGAAAAGTCTCTCAGGAGACTGTTTAGAGTAGAGAGACTAGACAAGGCTTTTAATACAGATTAAATATATGTATTTATATTTATTTATATACTTTTATATATAATTTTACAAGTACAAACAAAATTAAAAGATAAGATGCTCACGCACTTCAAAGGAAAGTCTTAATAACCTCAAGAGCATTAACAGGTATTTAACAGGTGCTTAATTTTCATAATTAAAAAGTGTAAAGTGCTTTCTTTGCTCATATAATTAGCATCTAAGTAAGCTATTTTCCATTTGTAAACTCCTTTAAATTAAGCCTAAGCATCTTATCCATGTCACAAAATCATGTTAAATACCTAGCTTAAGCGACATGTGTTTCGCCTCACTATTCGCATTTGCTAAGCTCCGACATGTTTTCACAGTTTAGGTTAAAACTGCTAATCCGAACTGTGTGTCAATTACCTAACACCTTGCCACCCCATTTCTCGATAAACCCCTAACCCCCTCCGAGCTATTGGCTTTGCCAACTTTCGTAGACCACAAATTTGTAGCAATTTGTATTTGGTATTAGTTGCCGTTGATGGGTAATGCATATAACACCTACACGATGGCTATAAATTTCACTAAATTTTATAAAGTCAACTCTCAGATACTTTTCAAAGACACACACACGCACACACATACATTAAGAGACCCGACTAAGTGCTTCTCACACGTAGCAAAAGTAAATGTGTTTATATGTACGTAACGGACGGAAAGTACACGAAGCCAAAAGGATGAACATTAGATACATTCATGCTGAGACTTCCTCGCACACACACACAGACATACATATGCTTGGAGACCCACACAAGAATTCACACGTAGCAAGTGGCAGGTTAAGAACCCAACATTGACTACCACAATAGACAACATTAAAGTTAGCTTCAGCTGGAGCTTGACGCAAGCTCTATAATATTGAAGTTTTTCATTTTCTTTTTGATATGCAGCATTTGCTCGAGCCAAAGAGGCAGCTGTGGAAAATTTAAAAACTTTCAATTAAATTTCTAAATTTATTTACTTATTAAATTATATTATTAATAAAGTTAATATTAATATTAATTCAGTGAACTTAAATATTTTTGTTAAGCATATGCAAGTGTAGCTAACTTTCGGCTTAAGTGCGGCTGAAGTTTACTGCTTTCTTTTAAAATTTGTCTGTTTTTTTTCCCTGTGTTATTTCCTTGTTTTGCTTTCTTGCTCAAGCGTTTAAAGAATAATAGACACATGTGAGTGAATGCAATAAAAAAAAGTAAAACCAGAAACAAGAGACAACTTATTGTTAGGTCAAGTCGCACAATTGAATACCCTTTTGGACTGTGTAGCTCTGCTATGGAAAAGTAAAGTTCCCAATGAGCATATTTTTTGCAGAAAAAGCTATTTTGTGAAAGCAAAATAAAGACCTAATTTTAAAATGGTTTCAGCTATTATATCTATATGATATAGTGTTACCTTTCGAATAATTGTTATATACACAACATATGAAAAGTGCTTAAGCTGAACTTTTAGCACTATTTAGTACTCTTTTAGTACACATATGTAATATATCAATTTTGTATTATCAATTGCAAGTTTTTCCCCTACTGATCTAGCTGAAAGACTCTTCTTCAGGGCATAGCTAGTATTGTAAATGTTGTTTTTTTTTACATTTTCTTTTTGGCAAATTTTACAAATACGTTTGGCGTGCGCCGGTGCATTCAGAGTCTCGCCGAGAGTTCTGCCAGTAGGTGGCCAGACGAGGCTTCGTTTTTGTGGTTGCATTTCGTGTTAGAGTGCCTGCTGTGGGCGTCTCTTATTTGTTTTATTTCATTTCTTATTTTATTTTTTCTTGCGTTGGCTTAATAAAAATACATTTTGCACGTGGTGTGCGATGCTGTAACATAGACACCCAGAGAGAGAGAGAGATAGAGAGAGGCTGCTCAGTGGGCCGTGCAAGTTTTTAGTACTTACTCGTCGTATTTGTTGTACTATCTGTGGGATCTGTGTGTAGGCGTGTGTCTGTGTATCTGTATCTGTGTCGGTGTGTTGGCGTAGCGCAAAAATAAACCGCACACACTTACCAGAAAATCCTTCCGGACACGTACAGTTGTAGTAGGCAACACCATCCACACATGTGCCGCCGTTTTGACAGGGGCCCGACCAGCATTCGTCCCAATTCGTTTGGCACTGGATCCCTGTGTAGCCGTCAATGCAGTAACACGAATACGAGCTGTACTCATTGTTGTCATAGTTGTGTTTGTAGTTGTTGTTATCATGGCACATGCGGGAGTCGGCATTTGGTGGGTGTGGGCGCAACGGTGTGTCAATGATGCATCAAACGTTCAGCAAAAAAAGTTTTGTAGGCAAACCCATAAAATGAAAAAGAGTAGAAAAGTAAAATAACAACAAGAAAACGTTTTAGATAAAAATAGTTTTACAAATAGCAGAATATGGGGGCGCATGTAAGGAGTGAGACAGAGAGGCAGCCAGGAAGAGATTGAGTAGAAACTACACGGTGAGAAAATACCACTTTAAAAATAGAGTCAAAAGGTTTCAAAATATATAGAGTTTGTTATCGAAAAAGCTTTCATTATCTGTAGTATATTTAATATTTGGAAATATACCAATTGTATATGCTCGCTGTATATTAGCTTGAGGTAAAGCTAATGTGTTTTAAGTAAGAAAAACTAAATATTTTGTTAATTTTAGAACTTTCATTTCACTTTATAATAAAGCTCATTATACGATATTAACTGTACCTTTAAGGCCCAGCTTAGCTAACCTTTTACATGCACTAAAAGCTGTCATGTGCTTCCAAAGCTCATGTCATCTAAGCAACTTCAAGCCAAAACTATTTGGCACTGTGTAGCGAGAACTGGTGTTAACACGATTTGTTAGTAATTGAAGTGCGGCACATGGCTATGGCTGTATGTGTATCTTTATCTAATAGGAGGGAATGTATCTGGATTTTCGTTCAGTGCTCTGGCGAGTGCGATAAACATGGCCAACGTACTCGAAACATTACGCTTGAGTAGTGGAAATAAATATTTGGTAGCCAATTGGGATTAGTTTTTCCTGCTAAGAGTGAATTGAAATTGAAAAGGAAATGGCTACGATAGCAGCAACAGGAATGGTAACGACTGCGGCAAAGCCAAAGGTAAGAGTAGGGGTAAAGGTAACGGTAACGGTAACATATCGAAGCTGGCTCCGGTGTCAGGGGAATGTCACCGACATGCCTCAAAATGGCAGACATCTACTGCCAGGGTCTCTGCGACTTCTCCCACTCGCTGCATAAGTTTCTTGGCTACACAGCTTAATTAAAGAACTTTTGTTGCTGTGCAGGTAGCAGGCTCTCCTTTATTATGGATCACATTAGGATGCATTTGCACAGCCCTGTTTGAGAGACCATTGAATTGGGCAAACAGCAGCAGCAGCAGTAAAAGCAGCAGCAATTTTGCTATTGCCTTTGACATGGACTTGCTTACCCCAGAGGCCTGTTGATTTGTTAGCATGCCAAAAAGAAAAGGCAAAAAAACAATTCTACTGAGTAGATAAATGGCCTTGGGGCATCGCATTAGCTAGCAGCAGTATCAACATGTACATGTGCTGGCTTAGCTGCCGAGCAGATGGCAGCAAAAGACGAGTGAAACAATGCATGCATTTTCGAGTGATAAATAGTTTTGAAAATTTGTATACAATGGAATGAAAGCTCATTTTAGAGGGCTTAGCTAAGGGGAATATGAGAAGTGCAAAGAGAGACAGTCGTTTTTTTTGAGTGAAAATTGAAATGTGACGAAGACTTTAAACAATTTGTTGTAAGCTATACCAATAAGAGATAAATTGGAAGAAATCACAAAAAACCTTCTGAAATTCATTTACGGCTTATATATCTTTCAGATTGGCTTAATCTCGCTAGCTCAGCTTGTATTAAAATCCATTCAAGGCATATTTATCTATTTAGTTTCAACTTTCCAAACCGCATTAAATCGCATCTCTGCTGTGTCCACACTATCTATATATAGAAGACAATTTGTTAAAGTTTCATTGGGTAAATTCTTGGCAAACAAATTTGCTGAACGTTTCATTTGAGCAGTTTAACGACTGCCATAAAACTTATTCATCTCTGATACGAGTCATAAATACTGCTATTGCCGCAAACTAGTTGAACATAAACCACGATAAGCCAATAAAATATCAATGTACTCGGATAACTCTCGTTCGCTGGCGGCCATAACCGAATTTGGCCAAAAAACTTTAAGATGGGCCAAAACTATTCAGTTAATCCGTTTAAATCTCATGGAATCGTGTTAAATTTAATTGCAGCTATAAATTTTTCTTGGCAGCGCATAAACTTCTATCCAGCTAGTTGACTGTGTGTGTGTGTGTGGCGCCCTAGCCCCGCAGCATAGCCCCACTGCTGCTGTGGCACCACTAAATGGTGGTTATGTCAAGAAAAGCGCGCTAGAAAACATTTCAACCGTCTGCTTCGACTCGCATTTGACTTGCAGCTTTCCGTGAAGCTTCTCGTAAAAAAGTATCGTAAACGCTTTTTATGCTGCAAATTCAGAGACTATGTGATTGGGTGGTCTAAGCCAAGCACAGCTCGACTGAGAGTTAGCTCAGCTCCCATTTCTGGCCACATGTCGCGGCGAGTTGAGAATAAAATGGCAGTTACTTAGTTGTATAGCTGCTCGCTTGGCAGCTGTTTGCATCATCGCTGGCTTATTTGTGCGCAATAATATTTATAGTTATGCATGGAGCTCAAGCTAAACAGAATAACTAATGCACAGCGCGTCAAAATTGCCAAATTCATTGAACCGAAACTCCCAATTGAAACTGAGCAGTCAAAGTTCACTTATGCGTGTATCGCCGAATGCTGTGTAGTTGCTTCAACTTTTTAGACATTTTACTTTATGTTAAAACAGCGCTGAAATAACTTGCGTTTATGCGAGTTGCATAAATAGTCAAGCAGAAGTGCACATTAAGTGAATCTATATTTTGTATCTTTATAATATGTTTGTGTATGGATTGTGTGATAAAAGGAAAAGTTATGGCATATGTTTGTATACGCAATGTCCTGAAACTCTGAAACTCGAAACTTTGGATTAGCGTTGCAGACTTGATTAAGCTGCTGACTCGTAACTTGAGCCGTTTACCTTTAATTAGTTGTTTATATTCATTCGTGTTTATAAATGCCTTAAGATGTAGAATGCCCTCAGAAATATTTCACTCTTTAAACTCATCTTATATTTGAAAGTTTAAGCAGATATATTCTATATGATATTAACTTTCTTTTTATTTTTTATGATACTAAGAAATATTTCACTCTTTAAACACATCTTATATTTGAAAGTTTAAGCAGATATTTTCTATATGATATTAGCTTTCTTTTTATTTTTTATGACACTAAAAAATATTTCACTCTTTAAATATATTTTCTATATGATATTAGCTTTCTTTTTTTATTACACTTAGTTCTTTTATCCTTTTGTTTTATTTGAGACATGCTTAAAATCTCTCTGGCTTTGTATCTCTCTATCTTTGGCATTTATCTATAAATATTTTAAATAATATCCAGGCATAATCTTTCCAACATTCAGTCTATTTTTCTATGTTTCCTTGGGCTTAGATAGAATTGATTGAAATATTATTTCTTTATTACAATTTACCTTTATAGATCCTTTGTGACCTTTTAAATACTCTACACTTAAGATGTTATTCTTATATTATTCAATGTCAATCTAGTCTGTCCAAGTGCACATCTGAAATTTCTTGTAGAGTGAGATATGTTTATCTGCCTAAAATATTAATCTAAGATATTTTTCACTGATCAACCTATCTAACGGTCTCTGCTGTTATAATATTTCTCTATCAATTGTTTTAACCCCATATCATTCTTATAATATATTAATTTATTCATTTTTTATATATCTCCAACATTTAATCCATTTAATTTTTTTTACCATTTAACATCACACACTTCAAGAGTCTTTCTGCAGCTTGAGTCTAATGTGCAGCATTTAACGAGTTCAGAGGGATAAATCGCATTAGTTACATAATTTAGTGAGGCTAAGGATGTGCATCGGACACACTCGTAAGTTAATAATGCGCAGCTTATGCAATTGAAACCACTCCTCAGTGGCCGACCCACTGAAGTGGGCACTCAATGCGACCACAGCTTGGCCTCATTGGAAAAACGGGGCACATGCATAAAAAGGCAAATAGCGGCCAGATGAGGGGCAATGGGGGTTAACTGTGTGGCAAATTCATTTGCCTGCAAAGTGGTGGCATCAACATGTTGGCCTGCTGTGTGGGCCGGCATAGGGTATTGGCTATTGGAGGCAACGGTTGAGTTGCTGCTGCTGGCTCTCAAGTGGTGCAAGTTTATTGCCCACTCGAAATGTGTTGAACGGAGTTTATTGGCTTGGCGATAATAAGCAATGGCTGCAAGGCCTCAACTTAGTTGCCAGCATATGGAACGCATTCGACTCACCTGTTCAGGCCATCGATGCAGACGCCAAATACACACGGATTGCTGAGGCAAGCGAAGCCCGCTTGGCTGCTGCACACCAGACTGAGGCTCAGGCAGAGCGTCAGTAGCAGTCCAGACTGTGGCCAGCTGTGTGCCAATGTTCTTAATGTCCTGCCAAGGTTTTGCGTTGCTGCTAATGTTGTTGCTGTTGCTGCTGCTGCTGTTGGTGTTGTTGTTGTTGTTGGTAATTCTACTGTTTTGTTTGCTGTCGTTGTTGCTGTTGCTGTTGTAGTTGGCATCTTTAGCAGGTGGTTTCGTTGCATGTCCGTTAATGGTTTCGTGGTTGAGCTGCTAAGCACCACATCTAGTATGGGCCCAGTGGTTGTTGTACCATTTGCCGTTAGCGGCGTTGTTGTTGTTGTCGCAGCAATTATTGCTGGTATTGTTGTTGTTGCTTCGGCATATTTAATGCATTTGTTAGTAATAAAATCACGCCTTCGGCACATTTCGCGCTCCATGGCGTTTTGCATTCGATACTGTAAAGTTCTTTCGTAGTTTTCGCTTATTCAATATTAATCATACGCCCTGTGGCACGTTCGATAGTTGTTGCTGTTGTTTGATTTACCGTTCGCCGTTTGCCGTTGCTCTCAACTGCAATTTGAATCCTTTTAGGTGCTTTATTAGTTTGCATTGTTTGCTTAACAATTGTTTAACTATTCCATTCACTTTATGTTCTTTTTTATTGCTTCCCTTTATATTGCCATTGCCGTCTTTGGCGTCTGCATGGCATCGCAACGCATTTTACTGGGAGTCTGTCCTTGCTTATTTTTATTATTGCTATTATTATTATGTATTATTATATGGTTTTATATTTTGTATTCGTTACGCTTTGCTATTCGCTGCTCTTGCTGGACTTCGCTTCCCCTCGTGACTCTTTACATTTTTGCAGCTGCAATTTAATTCTGCATGTTTTCAATTTGTTAGCTGTAAGAAAATAAAAGAGCGGAATAACATTGTTAACAATGTAAGTAAGAGCTATGCTGTGTTTCAATCAAGTGAAGGGTAGTTGCAGTTGCTGAATGTGAAATGTCGATTGAATTCTTCATGAAGGATTCTGCTGGGCATTGCTTAAAATAAATTTAAAACTGTAGGGCAAAGGTTTGAGGTATGAATAGATGATCAAGTTTATATACATAAGAGATAAGTGATACTAAGAATTATCAGAAAACTATTTAGGTATGCTCGATCCATACCTTTATCACTCTGTCTTACTTAAGGCTAGGTATTTATGCAGTAAAGCAAAACTTTAAAGTCAGTTACAGAGTCTCTGCCAGTCGACTACTTTAGTCTAACAAAGCTTTTAATACTCAGTTTCATATTGCTGCTTTTGTTTGAGCTAAAGAACAGCTACACACACTCACACACACTCATACGGCTTATTCTTGGAGTGCATAATAGAACTATGCGAATTATGAGCGATTTAAATAAAAAGCAAACAAAAATGTTTTAAAATGAAAATGTTTCGTTTGTGTCGATTTGTGTCTGAGCTGTGGAACTGAAGCACGGACCACAGCTGCTACTCAATTGTTGCACTAATCCAACTCATGTCAGTGTGCTGTTTGTTCATTCTCTTTTTTACTTTTGAATGCGTTCAATAACTGCCAAAGTTTATTCAGAGTTTCGGTCTTATGGCAAAAACATTTCATGGCATGGCTCTGTCGGTCGTATCATGTGTCAAAATAAAAGCTCCAACTTGTTCACAATTCACATATTTTTGCACATGTGTGCGAGGTGCTTAGTTTTTGGCCATTAAAACAAAATCGACCAGACCAGACCAGGCCAGGCCAGGCCAGGGCTGACTCTGAGCACTGTGAAGGGAAATCATATAAGTCGTAGCACATCGGCAAATCCCAGTCACATGTGTTGAATAAGCTGAGGCGAGAGGAAAAAAGTTAACAACTTTTGTTGTGCAAAGAGTACATACAGTTTATGTGCATAGACAGGGAATTGCGAATGATAAGTTAAGAATTGGAAACTGGCGACAGACTTCAAGCACACACACACGCCAAGTAAGGCGCTAGCAGCCAAAAAAGAAAACAAAACTCTAGCTAGAGCTAGAGCAACATCAACATAAATTCGACTTAACGTTGCGACCAGGCAATAAAAGTTAGCAGGCCAACGGGACGTATGTGTAATGTGCAGAATGTTGCATTTGGAAAGCCAACAACGTAGCAGTAACAACGACTGGATAATAATGCTGTAGGATTGTGGCATTGAGTGCAATTGCAAGAGCTAGAAGAGACAAAGAAAAGAAAGAGAGAGAGAGAGAGAGAGATAGAGAAAGTGCAATCATAAAGCTAACTCAACGTTGGGCCCTTACTGCAATAGATCATCAAAATGATGATAAGGTTGATTTCCTGTTTAGCTGCATTGTTGCCTGCGTTCAGCAACGGAGTTGGTATGGATTGTATATAATCCTGGCAACACGTTGCCAGCAAGTCAAACCGAATGGCGACCAGTCTGTGGCATGGCAATGGCAGCATCTGCGCTCAACTTTTTCTCTGTGATATGCTCGAGTGTTGACTCTGTATGTGTGTGCGTGTAGGAGGGCTGTGAGTGGTGTCGAGTGCCTCAGCTGCTGCTGCAAGCTTTTGGCATGCAACAACTCGGCTCTTCAATGTCGACCTCGAGGCACAAACTGGAATGCTATCAAATTGGTTACACCTGCAGTGGCAAATTTTCGGAAATTTTAACTAGCGCAAAATGTAACTGCGTGTGCCTGTGTATGGGTGTGTTGTGCACTGGGTTTTCATGCTAAAAAGCCATGTCACCAACATCAGCCGAGAAGCACGTCCTGTCGCTGGGGCGCTGCTGTGGCTGCAGCTGCTTCTGTTTCAGTTTCAGTTTCTGTTTCTTTTCGCTGGTCTCCATTTCTGTTTATTTTCTTCTTTATGGCATTTGCACAGCTTGCTGCACTGTGAGTGAGCGAGTGGATGGATGGATGGGTGGATGGGTGGGTGGATGGGTGGATGGGTGGGTGGATGGGTCATTAACGTGCTCCGTTTGCCGCTTGGCCGTTGTGCCGCTGGGTGTGTCAACAAAAATGTTGCAGATTTGCAGACGTTGCTGCTGTTGCTCTTTTTGATGACATTAATGAATGGGCCTTGTTAGGCGAAATGTGTAATCTGGTGGGTAATTATGAACAGGTTTTTTAGCAGACAAACACACACGCATATAGCTGTGGCTGTTGAGTGAAGTTTCCTTGAAAGGTTTCAAGTTGAATACAGCAAGAAATTGCAACTGGCTGTTGACTCTGAAGCTGCTTGCTTACTATTAAAGTAATGCATTGCAGTATGCTGACATCAAAGGCGAATACAACTGCCTTAACATAATTAAGGTTAAAAGCTTGCCATAGATTCAAATTTCAGTTTATACAAAGGCAACTTGAGCTGTGCAGCAAACTGAGAATTAAAATCAACGACTATAGCTTAAATAACTAGGCACTTAGTCTTAGTTTCAATTATGTGAATAAATTCTACAAAATATTAAATAAAAAATATCTTCAATTTTTGGCTTTTAAACTGTCCACAACAGCAACAAAAAAAGCTTTCAACTAGTTTTTTTTGAGTAGGATTTCGTTTTTATTCCTTTTAAGTAACTGCTGCTGTTGCTGCTGCTGTTGCATTCCATTATAGTTGATGGTTAGTTTTTTGCTGTAACTATGCAGGCAATTTGTGCACATAAATTTAATTAAAACACTATTGTTTATTATAAACTAGTTTTATTTTTATTTTTATGAAACTCTTGCATTGGGCATAGCAATTTGCTAACAAGATTTGGCTTGCAGTGAGGAGGCGCTGGTTGGAAGTAAATAATGCTGTGCAGCTGAGTCTATAGCAACTTGAATTACTTTAGTTTCTCTATATTTATTATGTATAGATATTTATGCAGAATATCGCAATTTCGTCATGCGACAAGTTACTCTACTGTTTCTTCATATTTTGTATAAACTAAAAAGTTTTGCCTGCTTTGTTTTTGAATTTATGCAAAGCGTCGGCGGGCAAACAGTAAAATAGAAACAAACAAAAACATTGCAATCGGCTGTAGGCAGCTGCGCAATTCGCTGTTAACAATGTTATGTCAACTAAAGTTGAGCTGTATGATGTAGACTGGGCGTGGCAATATAAAGTTTGAATAGAACAATAACTTAAAATTAGAAATCAAAAGCTTTAATAACATGCCAGGCTGAGATTGCCTAAGAACAAGCTGAAATATTTTGTAATATAAATTTCTATATAGCTCGGCATTGGGTGTCTCTACAATCACTGCCCTTGCGAGAGTCTTGCCAAACAAGTTAAGATACCTTTCCCTACAAAAAGGAACCTATATACCTGCTCTGTCGCTTCACTTTATATGTAGAGTCAACTGGAAATATGCTGAGGCCAAAGAATGCAAATCAGTTGAAGTCAGTGTCGCTGCTTTGGCTCTGCTGCTGCTCGACGAGCACATGAAGAGCCGCACAGACTTTTAAAATGTTGTTGATTAATTCAGACAAACATTCTGCAAATATTTGAGGCTAGAGCAAATAGAGCGCTAGAGACTGCGAGCTGGCCAAATATTTTATTATTTGAAGTAGTTACAAAGCAGGCAACATACCGAAAACAAAGAGAATTTGTGTGTGAGTGTGTGTGTGTGTGCGTGTGTGTGTTGTGTGTTGGTTTCTACATTAGAGCGCGTGAAAATCGATTTGCCAAAAATAAACACGCAGACCATAAAATAATTAACTTGTCTGTGCAAGACATATGAGTAAATACAATTCCCACCCTATTAGCTAAGGCTCCTCAGTGGCGGCTCTTGGCTCATGTTTGCGCTGCACTAATACAATTACAGCTCCCCATGCTCAGTCGCGTTCAGTAACCAAGGTAGCCCGCCCAGCCCCAAAACTCAACCACTTCAGCCCCACCACCAACACGTTATACGTGTCTGGCAACCACTTCCGATTGCTTATTACGCTTGAGACGCCGCTCACCCCCAAGCCCCAAAAAGTAGACTCCGTAAAATGGCAGCGTGTCCAGCCTGAGGCGAGCTCATGGCCGTGGCAAGGGCGTGGCCTCTTATTGTTGTGGCTCGTTTAAATTAATTGACTTAAATCAATTTCTGACTTTGACGTATTATGTGCAATTTCTCGACCGCAGCTGCCGCAAATAATTTTCATAACTCATGCATTGCTTTGGACAGCTGGACCCGAAGTCTCACACTCTGTGCATATTGTATAATTGAATTTGTATATAATAAAAGGACTCTATATGTATGTGTATGTATGTGTCTTAAATTCCAAAATTCTTCTAGCGGAAGCTGACCTGGGGCAAGTTATGTTGGTTATGTGAGAGACATAAAAGTATAATTTCTTTTATGTTACTAAATATTCATAATCAAATATTTTGTGCAATTAAGGATTGGAAATTTGAACTATATTCATTATATATGATATATGATATATATTTTGTCTTAACTGACGACCTTAGTGTTTGGTGATCAACTCACAAAATTGATGGAAACCAGTTGTAACTGTTTGTTTGCAGATATTTTTGCTAGTCATCTAGTTACTTTCATTTATTTCGTAAATTAAGTTGAATATGTATGACTGCGTGAGTCAGGAATGACCGACTAGGTCATACTCTAAATCGTGCAATACAAATCATTCTAAGCTTCTTTTATATATATGAGAAAAAACTGCTTACTGCGCAGCTTGAGCAGAGGCTGTGCTTGGGCTGCGTTTGGGCTGATGATTTCCCATAATTGTTCACTAACTCTTTGTTCACTGTTTAATGAATTTTTTACAGCACTCAAATAAAGTAATGATCTCTAATAAACTTCGAAGTTGCTTTGTCAACTGGCTGCTAAAATGAGCTTCGACGGGGTCAACTTGAGTCAACAGCACTTAGTACCTAAAACATATTCAATATAAACTATAAAAAATATAG